CTGTTAGCGCTATATAAATAAAATATACATACACTGTATACCTACTGCACTTACTGTACCTCCCTCTACTGTAATGTAACCTGTAAAGTGCTGAGTACACCTGTTAGCGCTATATAAATAAAATATACATACCCTGTATACCTACTGCACTTACTGTACCTCCCTCTACTGTAATGTGACCAGTAAAGTGCTGAGTACACCTGGTAGTAGACATATGCAATTTGTTTGTTTCGTTTCGAATGCCAATCCGGACGAATTTCGGAAATTCGGACATTTGAATGCTTCCGAATGTATGAGATGTCGAATTTCCGAAGTGCCGAATTTTGGAACTACTGCACTCACTGTACCTCCCTCTCCTGTAATGTAACCTGTAAAGTGCTGAGTACACCTGTTAGTGCTATATAAATAAAATATACATACACTGTATACCTACTGTATACTTATTGCACTTACTGTACCTCCCTCTACTGTAATGTAACCTGTAAAGTGCTGAGTACACCTGTTAGCGCTATATAAATAAAATATACATACACTCTCTACCTACTGCACTTACTGTACCTCCCTTTACTGTAATGTAACCTGTAAAGTGCTGAGTACACCTGTTAGCGCTATATGAATAAAATATACATACACTGTATACCTACTGCACTTACTGTACCTCCCTCTCCTGTAATGTAACCTGTAAAGTGCTGAGTACACCTGTTAGTGCTATATAAATATAATATACATACACTGTATACCTACTGAACTTACTGTACCTCCCTCTACTGTAATATAACCTGTAAAGTGCTGAGTACACCTGGTAGTAGACACATGCAATTTGTTTCGTTTCGAATGCCAATCCGGACGAATTTCGGAAATTCGGACATTCGAATGCTTCCGAATGTATGAGATGTCGAATTTCCGAAGTGCCGAATTTTGGAACTACTGCACTCACTGTACCTCCCTCTCCTGTAATGTAACCTGTAAAGTGCTGAGTACACCTGTTAGTGCTATATAAATAAAATATACATACACTGTATACCTACTGTATACTTATTGCACTTACTGTACCTCCCTCTCCTGTAATGTAACCTGTAAAGTGCTGAGTACACCTGTTAGTGCTATATAAATAAAATATACATACACTGTATACCTACTGTATACTTATTGCACTTACTGTACCTCCCTCTACTGTAATGTAACCTGTAAAGTGCTGAGCACACCTGTTAGTAGACATGTGCAATTTGTTTCGTTTCGAATGCCAATCCGGACGAATTTCGGAAATTCAGACATTCGAATGCTTCTGAATGTATAAGATGTCGAATTTCCGAAGTGCCGAATTTTGGAATGCCGAACCGAATTTCCGAAGTGCCTTATTGCTTCAGATTTCTGGAAAGTAGCAATCCAGGAGAGGGTTGGGGTTAGGGGTTGGGGTAGGGTTAGTGGTTGGGGTAGAGGTAGGGTTAAGGGTTGGGGTAGGGTTAGTGGTAACCGAACCGAAGTGCCGAAATCCCGAAGTCGCGAATGTTGGAATGCCGAACCGAATATTTTTCCCATGCACATCCCTATATGTTAGCACTGTATAAATAAAATATACATACACTGTATACCAACTGCACTTACTGTACCTCCATCTACTACTGCAATGTAACCTGCAAAGTGCTGAGTACACCTGTTAGTGCTATATAAATAATATATACATACACTGTATACCTACTGCACTTACTGTACCTCCATCTACTACTGTAATGTAACCTGTAAAGTGCTGAGTACACCTGTTAGTGCTATATAAATAAAATATACACACACTGTATACCTACTGCACTTACTGTACCTCCCTCTACTGTAATATAACCTGTAAAGTGCTGAGTACACCTGTTAGCGCTATATAAATAAAATATACATACACTTTATACCTACTGCACTTACTGTACCTCCCTCTACTGTAATGTAACCTGTAAAGTGCTGAGTACACCTGTTAGCGCTATATAAATAAAAAATACACACACTGTATACCTACTGCACTTACTGTACCTCCCTCTACTGTAATGTAACCTGTAAAGTGCTGAGTACACCTGTTAGCACTATATAAATAAAATATACATACACTGTATACTTACTGTACTTCCGTCTACTGTAATGTAACCTGTAAAGTGCTGACTACACCTGTTAGCGCTATATAAATAAAATATACATACCCTGTATACCTACTGCACTTACTGTACCTCCCTCTACTGTAATGTGACCAGTAAAGTGCTGAGTACACCTGTTAGCGCTATATAAATATAATATACATACACTGTATACCTACTGCACTTACTGTACCTCCCTCTCCTGTAATGTAACCTGTAAAGTGCTGAGTACACCTGTTAGCGCTATATAAATAAAATATACATACACTCTATACCTACTGCACTTACTCTACCTCCCTCTACTGTAATGTAACCTGTAAAGTGCTGAGTACACCTGTTAGCACTATATAAATAAAATATACATACACTGTATACTTACTCTACTTCCGTCTACTGTAATGTAACCTGTAAAGTGCTGAGTACACCTGTTAGCGCTAAATAAATACAATATACACACACTGTATACGAACTGCACTTACTGTACCTCCCTCTACTGTAATGTAACCTGTAAAGTGCTGAGTACACCTGTTAGCGCTATATAAATAATATATACATACACTGTATACCTAATGCACTTACTGTACCTCCCTCTACTGTAATGTAACCTGTAAAGTACTGAGTACACCTGTTAGCACTATACAAATAAAATATACATACACTGTATACCTACTGTACTTACTGTACCTCCCTCTAATGTAATGTAACCTGTAAAGTACTGAGTACACCTGTTAGCACTATATAAATAAAATATACATACACTGTATACCTACTGCACTTACTGTTTCTGATAAATTGAGTTTAATGCACCTGATTTAGCTGTAATGAGCCCTCTATCAGCACAGGACTGGTAGAGCAACTTGTGATTCTCCTTTGCAGCCACTGGAGGGCATATGTTCATTAAATATCTGTTATTCTCCTGCAGAGTTTATTGAACAAACAGTAACTTTATGGCATTTCTAATATTATGTTCACTTATTTCTACTATTAAACATATATGTGTTATTATTAGATCTAAAATATAATTAGCTTACCTCTATCCCTGAAATGCCTCCATCTTGGTCTTCGTCAATCATAATGTTGCCATTTTCTGCTGTTGAAGTAGAAAATGAGATTCCAAAACAATGTTCTTTTCCATATTTGCATTATCTGCCCTGACTATGCCAGGACTGAATTGTAATGTCACTTGCTGAATCTTTAACATATATTTTAAGAAAACTGAGCATCACAATGAAAGGTTAACACAAGTTGCAGGTAATTGTACATAGTATTGTACCTGGTACCTGGTGTGCCAGGCTGAGTATTTTACCCAGTGTGCCGGGCTGAGTACCGATGTGATGGGCTGTGTATTGTACCCGGTGTGCCGGGCTGAGTATTGCACCCGGTGTGCTGGGCTGAGTATTGTACCTGGTGTGCCAGGCTGAGTATTTTACCCAGTGTGCCGGGCTGAGTACCGATGTGATGGGCTGAGTATTGTACCGGTGTGCCGGGCTGAGTATTGTACCCGTTGGGTGTGCCGGGCTGAGTATTGCACCCGGTGTGCCGGGCTGAGTATTGTACCCGATGTGCCAGGCTGAGTATTTTACCCAGTGTGCCGGGCTGAGTATCGATGTGATGGGCTGAGTATTGTACCTGGTGTGCCGGGCTGAGTATTGCACCCGGTGTGCTGGGCTGAGTATTGTACCCGATGTGCCAGGCTGAGTATTTTACCCAGTGTACCGGGCTGAGTACCGATGTGATGGGCTGAGTAATGTACCCGGTGTGCCGGGCTGAGTATTGCACCCGGTGTGCCGGGCTGAGTATTGTACCCGATGTGCCAGGCTGAGTATTTTACCCAGTGTGCCGGGCTGAGTATCGATGTGATGGGCTGAGTATTGTACCTGGTGTGCCGGGCTGAGTATTGCACCCGGTGTGCTGGGCTGAGTATTGTACCCGATGTGCCAGGCTGAGTATTTTACCCAGTGTACCGGGCTGAGTACCGATGTGATGGGCTGAGTAATGTACCCGGTGTGCCGGGCTGAGTATTGCACCTGGTGTGCTGGGCTGAGTAATGTACCCGGTGTGCCGGGCTGAGTATTGCACCTGGTGTGCTGGGCTGAGTATTGTACCCGGTGTGCCAGGCTGAGTATTTTACCCAGTGTACCGGGCTGAGTACCCATGTGATGGGCTGAGTATTGTACCAGTGTGCCGGGCTGAGTATTGCACCCGGTGTGCTGGGCTGAGTATTGTACCCGATGTGCCAGGCTGAGTATTTTATCCAGTGTGCCGGGCTGAGTATTGCACCCGGTGTGCTGGGCTGAGTATTGTACCCGATGTGCCAGGCTGAGTATTTTATCCAGTGTACCGGGCTGAGTACCGATGTGATGGGATGAGTATTTCACCCGGTGTGTGCCAGGCTAAATATTGTACCCAGTGGACCGGGCTGAGTACCGCTGTGTCGGGTATTGTACCCAATGCGCTGGTGAGATTCCAAGTAACATGAATGCAATTAAAACATTCATCCTGTAGAAAATTTAATGTTTTACCAGCCCCTGCCATCCGCTCAGAAAGTTGAAGTATCTGGGATTATTAGAGCTTTAAATTGTAACATGATGACAGGGGTAGCTGACACAGACTAATTTCAGGTCAGGTAAGGCAATTCTAATAGCAGGTCCGCTCATGAAAACCAGGACTGGATCTCTCACACATGTGGAGCTGGACTCTCCTGCCGGCTGCAGTAAAACCTGGCTCACACCTCTGGAGCGATGATGATCTGCGCGGCAGGGCGTAGCTTCCACCAGCTGGAATGCATCTGAGTCACATCCTGGCTTAGAAATCAAGCATTCCTCGCATACTGGATAATTATTATGTGACGGGTCCTGCCACTTGCTTTATTCATGCAGATTAATTGTCTGTCTCCATAAAGTGATAATGTATCCATGAACTATGCCCCGGCTTTATGTACTCTCGCCTTTATCAAACACTGTGTCACTCCAACTGGCTCTCTACCCTTCCTCCCCCAGAGTCATTAAATGAGATTATTGATAGTAAAGTTTATCCTAATTATCATTATTATCAATGTTTATAAACCTTCAAAATAGCAGCGCTGTAAAATGAGTCAATGAAGTATCCAAGTAACAAGTCGAGTTTTCGTTCCGGTAAAAGCAGTGATCAGAGTTTACAGTCCATTGGAAGTGGGTTTAATTACAAGACTTCCTCTCGGGTGGTACAAACAAATCGAATTCCTTTTAATCTTAGCCGAATGAATTGATCAATTAATAAGGCTCCGAAGGTAGATCCCGATGGATCAATCCATTCGAGTGAAGATTAAAAGCAATTTGCGCACAAGTCTGGTAATTACTAATTACACATCACATAAAGACTCACTGCTAAGTGTACAAACAGTATAACAGATAAACGCATTATCTAATATATACCAATATTAGGTCACTGGGCGTGCTGGGCGGGAGTGGGATAGGTAAGGGCTACACTGTGTTATAATGTGAGAAATGAACTTTTTAGTTGATAGACTCCCGTAAAGAAATGGGATTTTTGAGACGTGTTAAAGTGGCTCGGGCAATTCTGAGTTTTGTTAAATATAGATTTAGAATCTTAATCAAAACATATACTGCATTGGAATATCATTGGAATTATTGTACAATCACAATGTATAATCACAATACATTCAGGAAACGATAGTTCACATTGTTTTATGTACGAGACTTTTTTGGATAAATGTGACAAATGGCGGAGCTGGAAGCAGCTTTCACCGGCAAAATCTTATCGTTTCCCATCCGGCATCAATGGTGAGGGTAACAGGCCCCTTCTCCTGCAATTCACAAAGTCCAATTAACGACTACATAATATCTTTCATGAAAAGTGGATCCGCTGCCTCTCTTTATACTGTCATGCGTGTGAAAAAATATGCCAGTCACACAAATCCCAGCAGCTACATCGACCAAGAACTGAAGATGGAGCTGATCTGAAACAACCCTTAAACACTCTGGCTACTCCGAATTAACTTACACATCCACTTTTCATTTCGTTTTTACAGTTATTAAAACCTACATGCAGTTTATTTCCCTATGTTTCCTCTACTGGGACCAGGACTGGCTGGAGGACATTGGCCATTTCCTGGTGTAAGAACATATTAACAGAGAAGGTTCCGATTCTAGGACCCTACTGGTAAATAAAGGATGAGTCAAACATCAAGATTAGTCTTTTCTTACATTTTCTTAACATTTGTCTTTAATTTTCTCTCAAATTCAGGTTGAGAAAATGACACAATGTTTTCATGATGGAAATCCAATCTTAACATTAAAATCTCGTATATTGGGGGCGGAGCCGAACAGGCAAGCTAACTAGACACACATTGCATGAGCTCCTGCAGTGTAGGCCCAAATTCTACAGAAATCTGAGGAATAACTGCTGCGATTTCCCCACAAACCTGCCTATGAGCTGGGGGAAGCAACCACGAACATGCCGGTACCTAACCTGAAGCCTGACTTGACCGGGAACCGCATCGGTAAAATGAGGCCTAGTGGAAGTAGGGGGGAAGGACGGCCGCCTTCCCGCTGGATTCCAACTGCGGCACGCGGGTACAAAACACCTCCCCCCCCCCCTATGGACCGGTGGGGGTTATCCCGGTCCTCGCCTGGCGGGCTATCCCGAACCCTGCACCAACAGACAACCATAAAGATCTCCATAAGAAACGAGGGGACGGGAGTGCCCAAGATGGCGGATCACTCCGACACAACAGTGTCTGACAAGCGACAGCAACCTCCGGATGCAGAGGACGCCGGGGACCACGCAAAAGATCCCATCACAATAATCTTTGACCGCTTCTGGGCCAAACTACAGACACGCTTACAGCCCGCAGGGCCCTGCCAAACATCACCCATGAGGGTAAGAGCAAATGGCGGACGGGAGCATGGGAGTCCTCCTCAGGGCAACTTTCAGACCCTAGTATTAAAATCCCACATCTTAGGCCCTCCCGAGCTGAGAGCAAGAAGGGGAGTCCCCCAGAGGCGCTGGCCACACAAGCGGAGAGAGGCAAGACGAACACCCAAGCGACCCGATCTAACTCCCCGCACCACCCCGAAAGGGCCGACCCTGGACCATGAAGGTTCCCAGGCTCGTGGCCTACGAGCGCCAGCTCTCCCACAGCTCTGGGGCAGGAGAGAACTCCCGCAACCGAGACACCGCGGCTCTACACTAATGGGACGGAACTCTGGCGTGAGGACCAAGCCTGGACGACAGCCGACAACAGGAGGTTGCCAAGCATGCAGCGACAAGACTCTCATCCCGGTACTAGATCAAGGGAAGAACTCCCTCCTCACCGCTGCTGCCTTGAGTGACTGCCTGGATGTCCTCATCCGCACCAGACAGGCGGAACTCTGCATGGCGAGGCAGCAAGGACAGCGACCGATGAACCCCAGGGACGATACGGACCTACCAAGCCGGGGCATCGGCTGACAGTGCCACGTGCTCCCGAGCGAGGTACCCGTGCCCCCACTCAGGACTTACCGCTATATTCCAGCTGTTGATACTCAGGCAGACAATATTGGCAAGCTACTGCTATCTGCTCTTAACATGCCAACGCACAGTTAGTTACCATATATTTTATGACTCACAGTTAGTGCCTGCCATTAACCTCTGTTGAACAAGTCTTCATTCACTAACAAAAATAGTACAAATATCAATGTAAACTCCACTGTTACTAATCTACTTTATTATTTTACTTAATATTATATCTAGTTAGAGCTGTCTGTATAACCATCGAGTTTACCCTGAATAACATAAGATGCCTAACCTATGCCAAATTACTTAGTAGCCTCAGATGGTGCTTAAACCTGACACCCATTTAATGCTCCACGCGAAATCTATGTGTATAAGCAATTAATTCCACTCAGAACCTAGATCTAGACCCAAGTTAAGCATGTGTTAGATCGTTAATTATTACTATGTAAATGCTCAACTAATAGGCACTATTTTACTAGTTGGCGTGGAATAATATAGCAACCCCAGCCTGTTTAAAGTCTATAGAGAAACTGAGGGCTTGCCTGTACGTACACCTATTAGACTGTATAAATGTATGTAGGCTTATGTCATTTCACAACCTAACCATACTATTACGCATTGTTGCTATTATGTCATAGAAGAGACTAAGCTACTACAATACATGTTGTTTAATACTCGACTTAACCATATATATATCTATCTATATATATAAAAACTTGTGTTAGAATTTTCCTGTACCTTCACGTTACAATGTTTGAAATGTGCTAGAGGATTGCCTTTGGGGTACCTCACAAGCAATTGTTATAAACTTACGCACAACAAAAATAAAGAATTTAAAAAAAAAAAAACTCGTATATTAAAATTATTATTATTAAATTGAATATGAGATGGGTCATGATTTAATGACAAGTTTACACTTTCTGTCTCTTTTAAATCCCCTGCATTTCCATTTCACTATATCTAACAATACGGCTCCATTTTATTTACTATTTAATCTCACACAAAACATTTTAGCAATCGGGTTTTTAAGTTGAGATCTTCTCCAGGAAAGATCCGATTCCAAGAAGAATCCTGTCCACATATGTTGCACAGAAACAGAGTCTATTTCTGGCGTTCAGTTTGCACACCTGAGCAGAGGGCTGTGTTTGGGTTTGCCAATCCCATGTACCATCATCTATTCACAAGCTTGCGTATGGAATTTCTTAGCGAGATAATGTGTCACTTTCCGTTTGCAGACTGTGAATATTTCATTAATCTTTTATGACAAATTCCAATGGTTCTGAGACTTATTGTTTGATCCCAGGTGCCGACTAACTTTGATCTTCATGCATTGTCCTGCCAGTCGGCGCAGCCTTGCACGGGGATAGGTTCTCTCGGGGTCAGAGCGCAGCCGGATGCTTTGAATGCTGATGTCATCATGGAAGAGAAATGCTTGTGATCCGGTTGTCATGGAGACAAGATAAGGCCCCAGCTGATAGATTTATTACACGCAATAATTTTGTAAGATATTTATGTCCTGGTTGGGTTTATTTTTTTTATATTAGAATGTTTTGTTTGTTTGTATCTTAACAATAACCCTAGCTATAAAAGTGTGATAAATGGGGTCTTCATAAATGGGGTTTTCACTAAGGCAACAAATTTGAAGAGAAACATTTCGGGATATTTCAGGACAATTTGAAGGCGAATGTTTGGCGTTAGTTCAGTAAATGTATTATTCCCCAGTACAGGCAAACCCCTCCCACCAAATCCGTCCAAATTGAATGAATCCGTTCTTTGCAATTCCATAACTGTTTCCCCCAGGATTGCCTTAATGACGTACGCAATATTGGGTGAAATTTAGGGACTCCCTCAGGATTGTACCATTCTGATATCAGTTTGCAGATTCATTAATAATCCTGAAGGGGGGACACATAGAATCACCCCAGCACAGGGGATTCAAACAATGAAAAGCTGAACTATATCTGGGTTTGAGGCACCCCCAGCGGGTGGAGAATATTTCATCAATAAATGTTTAGTGTTTTTACACATTACAGATCGATAGTTTCATGTTTAGAATTATTATTTATTATTTATTTAACATATAACACGGCCGTTAAAAATGTAACAACAATTGTAATCACATTAATTGACAAAGAAATGCTCTGATCCACGGGATTTGGGTCAGTAATAGGATAATGAGACATTTATTCACTGATTTATTCCACTATGTGCCCGTAATGAGATTAACCCCACTGGTTCCAAATACCACTTCCTCCTTTTATGTACATTTTGGGCTGTGGATTCCGTTACCATAGAAACCAAGGTGTCTGTGACTAAAGCAGTCTTTGTGCTCACACTTCAAAAATAGCAAGCGAGAACCACAGGCGGGGGCAAAGTCTGTATCACCTGCAAAGCTGTTAAAACAGAAAAGGACTAAAGAGAAAATCAAAGCATAGTACACAAATGGCATAGTAAAGATCAATAATCATATAGAAAGGGTAGTAGATACCTGGAATAGCCTTCCAATGGGAGCAGTAACAGTGATATAGAAAGGGTAGTAGATACCTGGAATAGCCTTCCAGTGGGAGCAGTAACAGTGATATAGAAAGGGTAGTAGGTACCTGGAATAGCCTTCCAGTGGGAGCAGTAACAGTGATATAGAAAGGGTAGTAGATACC